TGCACCGGTCGCCCGCTTGAGATGCGGGTTTAGTCCCACATCAATTGTGCACTGATTTTTTGGACGAATATATAGTAATGTTAGCTTTGTAAGCTTCTCTTGTATGTACGACCACTCCTTGCCCCACAACCGGCTGGCCACTAGTGACGTGAAAGGGGAGTGGCGCACACATGCCCCTATATCAGTCCAAGCTAAGCCGCTTGAGCCCCTACTCGTGGCTACTCCCCGACTGAGCTTCTGACCCGCTTGCAGGCCCAGCTGGCCGGTGGGTCCCCCCATTTTGCAATATTTTTATTTTTCTTTCTTGTTCTTCATTTATCTCAAAAGTAAAGATTGTAAAAATCATAGGAAATTATATAATTACCCAAAAATTTACGTTAATTAATTGAAAATCACAAATCATACTTTAACACAAATATGAGTCTATTTATCATGAATTAAGGCTAAAACTATATTATTTACTAATTATTAACTCATGATAATGAAGACTTATCAAGAGTCTACTAGACTACACATAATTTTCTGGTCAATAGGCTTTAGCTGTACCTAATAGTCTAAAGAAATGTCATATCCTACACCAATAGTTTAAACTCTAGAAATACACATTAGTATTGTAAAACTCATAACAATTCCATACCTTTGAATTTTTAATTGATAGAACTATAGTGCAAGGTAAAACACCAAGAGGGGGGATTGAGTGGGGTTTTTGAAGATTTCTAATGATTTTTCATTTCAGCATACATCTATATATATATGTGTCAACACGTGTGTCACTCAATAAGGTCTCTCAACTCTCTCTCACCAAGAATACATGGATTTTTATATTGGTTCACCTCTCACCTAACTACATCCAATACAAGAAGAAACTTCCTTTTGATATTCACTTTTTTCTTATATAAGCTAACATTAGGAGCTCGACCACCCAACAACTTACAATTGTCTACTTTGAGACTTAGTCTCTCTAGGACTAAAAGCAACTACCAACACCTCCTACCTTCACCCAAACCCCTCTTTCCTTACTAGTCAATTACCTTAGGGTCTGATGAGCACCAATCATGAATATATAGTTGATAACTTTGCCAAAATCAAGAGGAGAAAATGCTACAATATTTTTGTATGATAGTGATGCTTGTGTCTTCATGTTCTTGACCAATTTTTAACCCTCAAGCCTTCTCTAATAATTGTTCGTTTGCTAATAACTTCCTAATTACAAGATCTCTAAACTGCTTAAATGAATAAACTAATAGAAGGCTTCTCTTAATTTTTGAGTAAATTGGAGAATGGCTTTTCACATGACATGAGTTTTGCTAATAGGATTAATTTTTCTCAAAAATATTTACTCTACTTTTAATCATGTGGTGATCTTATGTGGTAATAATGTGAGCCAATCTCTAACTTTATCATGTAACCTAAGTGTATCTTCTGGAATATTAGGAATATGAATAAGTTTGCATGAAGTTAGAAATCTAACAATATGTTGATGTGACTCCTCATTATATAACCCACAAGATTTAGGAAGTATTTATATACTGCAATGGTGAATATTAAGATAAATATTTGACAAAATAGAAGGTTTAATTATGAGGTAGATCTATATAAAGCAGATATATAATAAGCACACAGGTTTAGAAGGTTGGGTATTTTTAGCATTCTCCCTCTCTTGGGCTAGATAATCCATCCTAGATGATTCTACTTTCATAAAATATATTTTTTTCCTTTTTCTACAATTAGAGTCTCTAAGATAGATGGTAAATTTTATTTTTCTTGTCTCTAAATTTCTAGATCAACTTGTAGCTAGATTTTCTAAGATTGGTCACAAGCCACATCTACCATTCATAAAATAGGTTTTCAAAATTTAATTTAAGCAAATCATGACTTGAAGATATGATTATAATAAAGGTGTAAAAGATAAATGTAAATTAAGTTATAATCTCAATTAAAAGTTGAAATAAAAGATAAATTAAAACTTTAAAAAATCTAACTATTAAAATTAATGTAAATAGAAACCAAATGAACCTAATATATTTTTTAGATTTTTTTGAAATAGTATTTGAATGAAAATAATGAAATAGACATTTTTTTAAGAAAATCACTAAAATGCAAGAGAGACTAATTCAATTGACATTGATTAAAATAAATATCTACAACAATGATGCTAAAAAGATGATGTGTATTTATCTTTGTATTTAAATACTTATTATCTAATAATATTTATAACTAAAATGTAGTAAGATATTAGTATAACTATGTCTCAAGTTGAATATAAGGAGATTGATTAATTTGTCGTAAAAAAATAATTTAGTTTATATGTAACGTGATTTTAATATTTTATCACTATTTAACCAAAAGAACGAAAGAGATGAGATAAGAAGAATGAAGAGAGCAAAGAAAGAAAGGAGAAAAAGAGAGAGACTTATCATGAGAGGAGAAGAAAGAACGAGAGAGAGAGAGAGAGAGAGAGAGAGGGAGAGAGAAATATGTGGGCAAATAATCTCAAAATAACAAGGGACATAATTATTGTAGTTATCTAACATAGACATGGTCTTGACTCACTTCACAAATCTTATGACATATGTTTTAATGTAGGTAGTAATGATCAACTTTGTTTTAAGTGGTCTATATTTACTAATTATTAATGAGATCTAATCACTAAAACCAAAAGTTCAAGATGTGATTGATTTCTTGTTGTTAAGATTTTTGTATAGAAACTAATATACAAGAGATCTTCGCATCATCTATGCTTGAAATTTAGATAAATATCTTGAAGATGTATGAATATTAATAGCATCATTTTAGAAATACATCCTCTAATTCTATGTAAGTAGTCTATTAATGTCAAAATCTTATAAGTTTTTGTAAACATCATCACCCCCGGAGTGTATTTCATGACTTTTAATTTAGTCTTAGTTAGAGTTCAAACTTTGTGATAGTTGCATGATTTGTGGTGTCATAAAAGAGGAGTGGTCTCATTTTCCGTGGTTACAGACTGCTTTACTATGAATATTAAGGAAAGGAAAGGAGAGTTCAGACGTACACCGTACTTTCAGGACAAAAAAAATCTAATCTTCTAACAAGGTGATGATTTTAGAGGTGGGTCCGGAGCGCAGAGGTGGAGGGGTGTCAAGAACCATCACTTCTCCGACGTGGGCTCCACTTTCTCGGAGAGATTTTCTCCCACTCCCCCCCCAGGCTCACCTCCACACGTTGGGTTCTGCTCCTTATCTCCTCCGTCGTCCACTTCCTACTCGATTCGCACACCCGATCTTCCCCCCCGGCGGCCCCAACCCAATGGAAGGGCTACTTGTTGGTCCGTTCGGCCTCTCCGCTCCTTTGCTTTCTGCGTAGATACACTACTCTGTAATAGGCAACATCTGATAGAGCGAAAGAGGGGGTGCCCACGAGGCCAGAAGGAAGATGGCATCTTCTGCCTCTCCTTCGATCACTTCGCCTCAGCTCACCCTCCTCCGGAGAAGATCTCGAGTCGACGAAGCGGGTTCTCTCCACGTCCGTTCGCTGTCTACACGCAATCGGCCGTCCATATTGATCCGCAATTCTTCCGCTGCTGCCCGAGCTGGGGCCTCTTCTGCCTTCGGACAGCATAGGCTCTTCCCCATGGTGGGACGAAGGCCCAGGGCGACGGTGACCCGTCCCAGGGCAGCCGAACAGGAGCAGCAACTGCAAGGTCAGCTCAGTACTTGCATTTTAAGCATTTGAATTGCCATATCCATCGGATAATTGGACGACGACACATATCAGAGGGCATCCTCAACTTTCAGACATTGATGAATGGGACATCAATACGTTGTAGGCATATCTTATGAATCACAGAAGATTATACATGCTTATCAGAAACCATGGAGAGTTGTTCTTTACTCCACCTTACTAATTATACAACCAGAAATTGAAGTTCTCCGTCTTCCAGCCGATGTGATTGGGGATTTGATTGAGACCATCTTCTACCTCTTTGATGTTGAATAGAGAGCAGCTGGCTGGGAAGAAACTGTACTATTCAATGGTATTTAACATCAAACTGGCAGTCACATTGAGATTGCCAATAGGAGACTACTGAACCTTCTGTGATTTCTGTGTTTATGAATTTATCGATACTTGAATTAGATTGTGGCAGATGGAATCCTTTTGGGAGAACCATAAACCTCTATTAGTTGCACATTGATGGTATTTTGAGTGCGCAATAATTTTATGGCGTGTTCGTTGTTGATGGGGTCTCTGAGATATTCTAGAGGATGAAAATAAGTTCTCCCCACATGCTGCTGGGCAAACTGATTACTTCCTAAAAAAGTAACACATACTTGATTTGCCTTTGATGATGATATTTATCATTGTCTTGAATATTGAATCTCTTTGGTAACTCACAAATAATCTTTATGCTCATTTGCCTCACATAATATTTACTCTTTGGTTACTGTATGCCAGAAGACTTTGCCTCATTCCTATGCTCTGCCTGCCCTTTCCAACATTTTGGTGCCCTAAACATTCATGCAGGCCTGACAAGAAGCAATGAAGAACATATCAAAAGATGTTATTATTGAGTCTTCTAGTTGGAGTTATCATATTGTCTTTTAATGTCTGATACCTTCCACAATATTAATTTCTCTGGAAATAGTTAATGAATATCTCGAAGTTTACCATCTTTCTCTGTAGATAAATTCTTTCATGTCAGGAATAAATGGTTCTTGGTATAAGAACCATTAATATATCATGAATATTCCATGAAAAGAACGTCATGATTCAATAAAATTGAATAAAATATAGCCTTGCCTTATAAATTTAGACTTTTCATGTCTTGTCACCTCTGATATATAATCCAGGTCCATTAAGAACCTCGTTGGCGTGGGCAACTAAACTGTCTCGGAAAAATAATATTCTGATTTAACTTTCCCGCTTATTGACAGGTTTTTCTTAGTTTCAAGTTATTTGACAAGCACGGTTCTAAGATTTGATGGATGGGGTGAGACTAAGCGAAAAGTATTTGAATTTCAATGAAGTATTATATAATTTCTGGTCCATGTTAGCATTCATCGATCCTTGCAATGAAGCATTTCAACGTTATTGGATCAGTCATTTCGTCCTTTAGATGATCAGAGAATTATAGGATTAGTTTTCAGTCTTGTTTGGGTTAATGGCCTGCATCAAGTACTTGCCGAACAAAGCCCTTAAGAGCAATCCAATAGTTTGCCAATCAATTGAAAAGGAGTCAGCCAGGAAAATGTTCTTGTGGGACTAAAGTTGGCATTAAGGATCACATGGACACATGACTATATATCAGTGGGGCCTCCCTGAACTTTCTTTCCTTTGCTCAGCCCCATTATGGCTATGTCAAATTGGGTCCTGTACATCAGCAGTTTAACTTGAAGTCTTTTTATGTTATTGACTCTCTCAGTGCCTCCTAATTTGGGTTTGTTGGCAATTGATTATATTAGACCGATCATATTAGGCTCTACTGATGTTTCCCTCGCCGATTTTGTGTTTTTGTGGACACTGATTTAGGGTTTTGGCCAATCAACCCCTAAGCCAAATTGAGGCTCATTAATAGGCTTTCTAACATATGAAATTTTGTCTCCCTACTGTGTTCTTTCTTTTCAGGAATGTTGACACATGGTGACCACCAAAACCCTCACTCATTGATAATTTTTCCTGTTTAGCTCTCATATTATTTGCAGATTTACCTACAGTTTCTTGTGGGGTTGATCATATTTGACCCTTTTTGGTTTATATATATAGTCACGTATATTCTTTTCTCTTTGTGACTGTTTATCTTCATTCTCAGGTGAAGTTGAAGGGGAAGTTGTCGACAGCAAAATCTTGCCATACTGTAGCCTAGACAAGAAAGCTGATAAAAAGACGTTGGGAGAGCTTGAGCAGGAGTTTCTTCAAGCATTACAAGTAAAAAGAAACTGCATGTCTTTTACCCTTGAAGCATTACACTTATAACTTCGGTTCTTCTGTGCATCTATTTTTATAAAGTGAAAGAGTAATTTTTTCGGTCCAAACTGGTGAACTTTTTTCAGGCATTTTATTTTGAAAAGAAAGCAATCATGTCAAATGAAGAATTTGACAACCTCAAGGAAGAGCTAATGTGGGAAGGCAGCAGCGTTGTTATGTTAAGTATGAATCTTCCTAGTTATCATTTTTTCTTCTACCTGTTTCTCCTAAATTTCCCTCTGGAATGATGTTTCAGTTAAAACATTTTCCCGAAGACATCTTTTATAGTTGTTTTCTAATGTTTTCAATTTGATCTTGCTACTAGGTCCCGATGAGCAGAAGCTTTTGGAAGCTTCGATGGCTTATGCCTCTGGAAATCCAATAATGACAGATGTGGAGTTTGACGAGCTGAAGTTAAAGCTGAAGGTTTATTTTTTAGCTTAATCCATGCAAATATTTATATTTTTTGTAGTAGGACTAAGATGTAAACGAATGACAAGACGAATAGGTGATGCTATGCTTTGATCATAAATTTCTTGGTTTATTTTTTAATAAATAATCTATTTAATTTGGATTCAGCTTTGGTAAGACAAAGAAAACAATAAGTCCAAAGGGAGATTTACAAGAGTGTGGAAATGAAGTGTATTTTCACTCCTATTCATAGAACATAATCTGCTTGTTCTCCGTTAAGCCTTTTATATGAAACTAGTTCAAAAAGATTATTCATCATTGTTAGAATTCCAATGAGACCAACGGTAATAGACCAGTTCAGAGAGATTATTCATAGTTGCTGGATCTCAGATAGACCAACGTTAATAGAGTTAGAAAGAATATACAGATTCATTCTCTGATGTTTTTCCGTGGTCAGCAAATAAATATTAACGCTTATAGTTATTATAATTCCAGTTTATCATGGACAAATACGGAATCATTTTTTATTTTTCATTATATTCCTCAGTCCAGTCAAAAGGTGTTCTTCCTCTTCCCATTTCAAGATAGGACAAGGCCAGTCTTTTCTATTCTGTTTGAGGACTAGGTTTTCTTACTGTTTTATGTACAGGATGGGATGAAGTACAAGATTAAGGTCTGTTGTCTGGATATTTATTGAAAAGACACCCAAATCTGTGTAAATCGTTCAATGGCAAGTAAGATGATTGTGTCACTTATAATTCTGATCTTAAATCTTACGTTCTGAATTCACTGATTTATTTTCAAAAAGGCCATCATTTAACACTTTAAGTCATGAGCTGCACCAGGATCTATCTATGTGCAGCAGGTTTACCGGAAAAGTGTGTCAATTGGTCACATTTGATGCAACTCATGATTTATCTGTGCGCAGCAGATAACTAGTTACGGTAAAAGTCATATTGTGTAGCATTGTTATGTGGTTGTGCTTTAAACCTGGTAGAACAGATGAAAATATGACCACATATGCACAAGATGGCCCATCCTATATAGTAATGAGGAATTCATTTCGAAAATAGCGGCCACTGTGGCTCTTATTGCCCTATGCCTGTAATGGTTCCTAGTCACTAAAATGATCCTGGGGGATTTTTTTCCTCCTTGATAAGATTTTTCAGTATCTGATGTCCAATTTTGATCATCCGATGCTAGCATTAATGGTACTGATATGGCCTTTTGATTCTTAGGGACTTAGTGGTCTCTGGCTGAAACAGTAGGTATGTTGGTAAATCTATAGTGAGAGGTTCACTGTCATGGAACAAGGCAGAACAGGCATTAATTTCTCCCAAAAATCAAGAGCAATGATGGGAAAGATTATTTAATCGCTAAACGTTGAAAAACATGATGTCATTCGGTGTTTTCAGTTTAATAAGGAATCGGACTATTTGTCCGCCTTGGTATCAGGACTTTACAGTTTGGTACATCCCATAGGACGTTGACCAAATATGATGGTTCTGAAATACTTGTTGATAATATTCAAAAGGGGTTCAATTTCGAGTTTTAATTGTTGCCAAACCCATCTATACTATGTTACATGACTTTGACTTTTGCAGAGCTTTTCATTGCAATTCTTTACTTTGACGTGTTTCTTTGGTTCTTCTTTGTTCAAATAGTGTTTCATTCCGGATCTTTCCCTTGAATTAAATTCTCAAACTTACATGTCTGGTCTAGAACGATTACAACGCCACGAGGAACATTGTCATAATATCAGATTTTCCTTGAGGAGTTTGTAATCACATGTACAAAATGTCTACAAAACCTTCTAGCTGTCTGAAACTGTATTTTGCTTTCTACCAGTGGCAAAGGGTTTGGAGACTTTTTTGATCTACTACCTGGGCCACTTTACAGTAGCATACTTCATACTCTTGTATTACCTACGAGGACAAGCATTCGTAGCTTGTGTTTGAACATTAATTAATATGCGTTCTACTGGACTGTTGTACATACATTCACCATATGGACATTCATTACATGTTATTCTGTAAATAACCGTGTTTGGTGGTTTTGCTCTGCCGTTAACCATGTTCTACATCTTTTAACGTTATTGGATCAGAAAGGAAGCTCATTGCATGGAACATTCTTATTTACCAGACAGCTTCTTCATTCTTGGCCACTTTTGAAGCTTCAGAGCTGACTTTTATTTTTAATTTTTACAAGGGCATCTGATCTCGTTTATTGATTCGTAGTCAGTGACGTGTTAGCTATAGTTCTAATAACTCTCCTAGAGAAGCCAATAGATTTTGTTCTTTCCTGACCTGTAACAATTTTGGATTTTGAGTATGTTCCATGGTGACATCTTCACATCTTTGTTGCTTAGCAAGAAGGGAGTGATATTGTACAAGAAGGCCCGAGATGCAGTCTTCGTAGCAGAAAGGTATGCCCATTTGTCTTTGGAAACATTTAATCTACAGGGATAAAGCATTACATTTCATATTTGTTAATTAAAAGTACACGGCGGTGTATCTGCTTATCCCAATATCTTGATTCATCTTTGCCTGATGACTGTAATTGAGCTACTGGTTCGCCAATCAAACTTTTGCTATCGAAAGGACCCACATTCATTTTCATATAACAGTGTAAGACAACAATGTTGAAAATCTCTGAACGCTCTCCCACCCATGTTTTCAAGTCACTCTTTGATCTCCACAATGGCTGTCTTATTCGCATCACATATTCGTTGTAAATTCTAATAAAGGTGAACAAATTAACTTAGAGGGACGCATCAACGAAAAGGACATCATAGAATGATGCTTTTAGGATTTTGAACTATATTCAATTTGTCTTGCTTTCAGATTGGATACCTGCTAAACAAGTATTGTTATGAATGTAATTTTTGGGTTCAATTGGTATAATATTTGGTCATACAGGTTTACAGTGACTTAACTGTGGACTACCTCAGAATGTTCCTTCTAAATGTGCCAGCAGCTGTTGTTTCTCTTACCCTGTAAGTGCTGTCACAATAATCATATCATTGTGGACGCCATGTACGGAATATCTCAATCGTGTGTTATAGATAGTTTGGAGTAAACCAATGGATTTATTTGCAATTTTGTCTAGCTTTAAGCATTACTGTGGTCTGTGGTACATACCTAAACCTTTGCAGTGCAGATACATAGAAGTAAAACCCTGCATTTATTTTCCATTTTTTCTGGATTTAAATTTTTTGGTTTTGGGTACAACTAACAGCATTTCCTGTGAACACCTTTGCCTGAACTATTGGAAAGAAAACACTGTATCCTATGTTTGGAATGGACATATGAATGTGAAACAAGGATAAACTTTTTATTAAATGGATATCATAATGTTAATGGATGCTTTGGTTTACAGATTAGGGTTTGTTTACAGGGTTTTGGGATATTATATGAACGAGGTGAATTGTAAATATGTCTTATAGTTCTGGCATGTGTTTATGTTTCATGATTTATCTCCGGCTGTAGCTGTCAATATGTGACTTATGATCTGCCGTTGATTTCATGCAATGAGTTTTATCTTGGAATGTGTATGTTCTAGTTACAAGTCTGAATTCTGCTCGCATTAGTCTTTTGGATCTTCCATCATCTTTTTTTGACTTTATCTATAGTTTTTTGTTTTGCTATGTACATGAAATTTTACATTCAAGTCTAAATCTGGTGATTCATATGCAACAAATATATTTTCCTGATCTAAATGTCTAAGTTTGCACAGGACAGATATGTATCGCAGGCAGGGAAAGAATTCTTATTGTACCTTGAAGAGTTTTTCTTTGTACTTGTTGCCGTTGTTCTGTTTCTCGAGTTGTTCAGTTACAGTTGGGTAGAGTAGTTCATCAGAAGATATTTTTAAAGCTTTAAAATAGATAGCGGTTATCATACCATATAGTCTTTATCACTGTATTTTAGTGATTCCGTGCTATATAGATCCAAATGATTTATGGACAGTTTTAATTGCGCAGCCTTTATCAGCTTGCTTGAATGTGAGATATAATGGTTGACGAATAATCAGGAACTCTGAAGAATTTTAGTTCTCATTGATTTGGCTGTCTTTCGAGGTTCTTTTAAATGATTTCTCTGTAGTGATTTCTTTTGATCTTAGAGTAATCTGACAGTGGGTTTGACCTGGCTCTGGTTTCTAGAAAATCAGTTCTCAGTGAAAATGGTTGGTAACTATGAACATGCAATGAAACTGGGAACAACGTCTTGGAAATTGATGGCTATTGTATACAGATTTCAGCAACTCACGTATTTGGTGACGATGGTCAAATCATAATCTAATGCCCTCGTTTGTCATTTCAGGTTTTTCTTTTTGGATGATATCACGGGATTTGAATTAACGTTCCTAATGGAGGTGATATTTTTATTCTTCCTGTTCATATTTTGACATTTAAAGAATGAATTCTCACGCATTGGTTGTGTATTCTGCTCATTTTCCTGATCGTTCGTGGGTTTACGTCATTCCAGTCTTTGTTGTTTGCCCGAGTTAGTAACTCTCTCAGTTCTTTTCCTCGCTCAGCTGCCAGAGCCATTTAGCTTCATCTTCACGTGGTTCGCCGCCTTGCCCCTCATATTTTGGCTGGCGAAAGCGATAACCGATGTCATCGTCAAGGACTTTCTGATTTTAAAGGTAACTAGGAGTTCTCCTCGATCCCAGACATTGCCATTTTTATGCAGATAATATATATATATATATATATCTATCTAAGATGGTTGACTTAGTTCCGATGAATATTTCTCGATCCCAGGGCCCCTGTCCGAACTGTGGGACTGAGAACACTTCCTTCTTTGGCACCATCCTGTCCATATCCAGTGGCGGCACGACAAACACGCTGAAATGCTCAAAGTAAGACGTCTTAGTGTGGGTTTTCTTTGGCATCTCGGCGGATTAGATTACCACACATTGCGGTCTACTTACCTGTGTGGATGGATGGGTGTTCCTCTTCCTCTTCCCCTCCCCCCAGCTGCGGCACTCCCCTGGAGTACGACAGGAAGTCTCGCTTGATCACGCTGCCGGAGCCAGGCCAGGCTTAGTGATCTTCATTCATCTGTAACATATGTAATCGTGTCACATACTTTGCAAGATGGCCCGTCCCTATCTATGCACTGGGCATATATGCAAAGCACATGTTCTGGTCACACGTCTGACTTACACTTCTAAAGTTGAAGGCTTTGAGCGAAACTTTAGCCGATGCGTTGCTGTGACTGGCGCGAGAGGCGTATTCAATCACTTCACTGGTTTTCTAGTGAGGGTCGAGAGTTAAAGATCATTAATTCTATGGGTTTTAAGCTAAAAGGATTGTGCTTAAATTATCGACTCTCTCTCTCTCTCTCTCTCTCTCTCTCGCTCTTATTGTGATGGAAAGGTAGTTCTTAAATTATGGGCAGTCTCGCGGCACCACCTTTGGATCATTTTTATGGTTCGTAGGTCGATAAAAATCACTTTTTCTTGAGAGGGCATCTTATATTCTCGTGCTTTAAGTTTATCAGTGTATTACAAATTCTACAAGGCTTCATTAATATCCGTGGAAACGGAATCAGATTGGATCAATTCTGGGATTCGAAGACGGTTTGAGATCGCTCATACAGAAGACTTGGGGATGAGTATTTTGTTGAGGAGATGGGAGGGGTTGATCCCACAGAAGCCAACGACGCTGAGGTGAGTTCTTGGGCCTTTTCTGCCCGGGGCAGTCGAGTCCATCGGGAACAAAATCGAAAGAAGCCCCATTCCGCTGAAACACACCGGCGCGGGGCTTTCCGTGGATCCAGATCTCCTTCGGCTCCTTTGCCCATATCTCTCCCTGCATTACTGGATCAGTTGCAGGTCGAAAACCTCGGAATCAGGGAGTGGAGGTCTCCCTGGTTTCAGGAATCGTGCTGGGCATCCTTGATTTTGTTGCTTCTGCCTTCTTTACCTCGTCCGGCCTCTTCCGAGGCTGCCATCGGTCGCTTGGGAAAGCGATGGCCACCGAACGTCCCTCTCTCCTCCCCGTAGTTGGGCCGGATGGTCTGGCCAGAGACGCTCCAGTGATCACCTACACTGAGAAGGTGAATCGACCTCCACTTCCTATATCTTGCGCTATCCTCTTCTCTGTTGCTTCTCTGCCTGTCTTTCACGGTTTCAATCCTAAACGTCCTGCACGGAGAATTAACATTCTTTTCCTTTTCACAATCCTGTACGATGGGGTTTTCCTCCTGGCCTAACTCGTTCAGATCATTGAGGAAGAACAGCTCCAATTGAAGAGGTGAGTCTACGCTAGAACACAGCTCTCCCTCTCTAGTCCTCTGCACTCTCGTTCATCTGGGAAGTTGATTTGACATCGACGGGTACGTACAAACTGCAATGCCTAGCCGTTTGTTCGAGGGACCCAATCATTATTGTTATGAAATTGTTCAGCGCGTGCAATCAATTCCATAATATTTGGAACAATTTTATCTCTAGTACCCAGATGGGCAAGATTTCTACCATCCGGATATTCCATTTTTATCTAGTCCTGTCCCCTTGGAAAACTGGTCGAAAGGTCTCACTGACGTATCCCATGTCTTAACAGCACTTTGAGGGCGATGAACACCCATTTCAGTTATCTTTCCTCAGAACTTCTTTTTCTTTCTATGGGAGAGTAGGGAAACACATCAAAGGGATTACATTGCCCAAGCACTTCGATATACATCTAATTAGAGACGTTATAAGAACCACCATACTAACCTTGTGAACAATCAGACAACCGGAATTTTTCAATATCTTTGATGCTATTTAGAACACAAGTATCCACCGTTACTCATAAATTAGCTCAATTCTCTATCACTCTCATCCACGTAGGCTTCCATTAACAATTTGCATTTCTCAGTTGTTTCACAATTGTGCCTCACAACAGTGACGTGTCCAGTTTTATTAGTATCTTGGGAGGACATTATTTTTCCACAATGCGCAGCTCTTAAGAGTGATTTGACGAGAGAAACTGGTGATGAGAAGTGAAGGATGCTTCATCCAATTGCTGTTATCTAATATTCTGCCTACATTAAAATTTCGGTAAGCAGGCATCGTTAATGATGCTATCAACATGTGTTCGACTTAAGTTTCAGGGGATCACCTTTTTGTCAGCGTATATAATAACCATCTGAAAGAAAATGTTAGTGATGATCTAGCGGTTTTCTTTCCCAATGTTATGTAGTGGGAGATGTACATCAGAATCTCGGGACAGTTGGCATGACACACATAGTATCTTAAAATTGATGGTAAGATGATTGGATGACTGGTCCACATCTGCATCTTTAGAGAGTTCTTCAAAGCAAGATGGGGAAAATTACTTGGAAGACTGATCTATCATCTTAATAAATTATTGTAAAATATTATAAGCATAAATCATTATTTTAATTTTCAGATTATGGGATTAATAAAAGTATTATAACAATAGATCATTCAACATTATCATTTGCTAGTGTACAGTTGTGCTCAACAACAAATGTGTTGAATCATCTCAACTGACAGATTAAATCAGCAACGTAAGATTGTGTTTCTTTTGTCAACACCCAGGTGACAAGGTGTCCAAGCTTCTTATATGACCCACCTAGCAAACTTTGCGTGTAGACTGTTTGAGTAGCTGTAGTCAACACAACAGGTGTTATGTAGTACACCTCGTGTTTCCTAAAAACCCAGACTCGATAGCTGATGTAGATACGAAACTCTGATGCCGTAGCCCATTGCATCTGTATTTGGCAAGAAAATGTAGGGTATAGTGATAGTGAGTGCTCCAGGACTGGCTACACACATCAGCCACCGTGTTTTCCTTTTCTCGTTATGGTTCAACTAATGCTTAGTGTCATCAACCTGTCTTCATCTCTTAGTTACTTTCTTCCCCAATTCTTGTATGTTTGGCTTCTACAATTCAGTTTGCATTGCCAAGACTTGACCAGACTCGGTGAATTATATTGCATTTGAGCTGGCTGTCTGCGTGCTTGAGGTGGATGTTAAATTTAAAAATTTAAATGATTTCGTATCTTACAAATAAAATGACCACTTGTTGTTTATTCCTACGACTCTTACATGCTTTTTGGGCCCCACCTTATTCCTATGAAGTGGGACTTATTTTCATATAAAAATTAAATTTCTCAGGTATATCAATGAAAATTATTCGAAAATTCGGGATGTTGAACGAGAGCTGGAAAATCTTACATTAGAGATGAAACTTACAGCAGGGCCAAAGAAAGCAGGTTGGTCTCCCTTTTAGCTTTCCTCAATCAAGTATTAGAGCATTCCTTGTGATTGTTTGTACGATAGTGGTATCTCCTAACTTACATTTATTATACTGCTTTTTCATGTAATATACTCTAAGCCCTTGAGCATTTACGAAAGAAGATTGAGTTATCGACTGAGAAAATACATGCTGCAAAGTTAAAGGAAGAGCAAGCGCGGAAGGTTTGTCATGCTTTGGTGAACTATTATTTCTTGATAGAGTTTGAATTTCATTTTGTCTTAAACAAGGGTGACACAATTTTCATTGCTCTTGTTTGCTTTACTCACGACATTCTGCAAAATATATATTCCTTACTTTTGTCAACCTCTAAATCATTTTATATTATTTTATAAAAATTCTAGTGTTCCTGTGGGTTATGTGACTTCACATTGCATAGCAGTTAATATTATGTAGCTCTTATTGACTAGATGCGATTATGGGAAATGTAACTTGCTAAAGTTGTATTTCATGGGCACATTTGGTATTATTTTTGGTTTACACTGGAATGACCTTGGTTACTTGTTCCCAAGTCTGAGGAGTTAATTTGATAGATTGCGCAGTATGCACAAGGCCAGAAGAAAGCGCATGGCCAGAAGTCAAAAGGTGAAGGCTGGAGTCAAGGGTGATTGTTTCATGTCCAACCGGTACCCCTTGAAGTCTCATGCATTCTGATCCACTACTCCTCAACTATGTACATCCGGCAAAGCACTTAACTCCACAAAATGCATGATTTGATGGAAAACAGCTCCGCTGATGGTTTTCAAAGCCTATTCACTCAATGGTGGTCGGCTAGTGACTTCTGATTTTCAGACCATGCGATTCCCTTCCTCCAGTCTGAGAAATCCTCTTACCGTCTTTCCAGATGGCTGCTGTACTGTGCCATCAACTAGTTCTCATCGTTCAATATAAGCCAACTGAAATTCACCCAATCTAGAACATCATTTTCTCGTAAGAACATTGACCTGGAAAGACCAAAATCAAACCATAATGGTGAATAGTTCTAGTGTTAGAAAGATGTCCCTTTGTTCTTCTCTCACCCTTCCATTTGACTCGAGTGCTTTGAGATGTAATTTTTCGCAACAGTTTTTTTTTTTTTTTTTTTTTCTAATGGGGTTGGGCTTATCCCGTATTTTGTTAAAATTGAGATACCCTAAATAATCATCAGTGCAAGCAGCTGGTGTGATGTGATGCAAAAGGATTAATGTAACCTTGCGTAGTCCATGTAGATGTATAGTTCATTAAGTGCTTTCTGAATGTCACCATCTGCTCTAGAGACAGGAACCAGACGCTGCATCTATACATAATTTAATTTTTCTAGATTCCTGACAAAATATGGTACCTACGGGTGTATCTTAGGCTTGGGAAGCTGCAGCAAAGTTTGTGAAAGACGAGGAAGCAGCCAAGCAGAAGCTTTGTGACGACCTAAATCAGCTGGTATATTTGTTTTCCTCTTGTGTCGATGTCAATCGTTCTAGACACGTTTGCACCTTTGATTATTTCTCCTGCTGAACCTTTTATGACATTATTGGTTCTGCATTATCAGGTTCAAGAAAGTGCGGCCTCTCAATTTGCGAGGTTGGAAGAGCTGAAAAAGCGTCTTGAAGCTTTGAACCCTAACCGTACTTCTAGTGATGTCCCTGTAAGTGAAGTTCAAGTTCTATAACATTCCCTTGGGACAGTTTTCATATCGTTTTATATCTGTCGCTTTCATAGCAAGTGGTCAGGATAATGGAACTGAGGGCTCATCTCACGCATTAATGACAACATGAAAATATGGGTCTAAAAGGATTTTAGCCAAAACTTAACCACCATAAATATGGAATAGTTTGATATGACAGTGGCTCTTTTGAAAAGATTCAAATGTACTCTTAAGGGTTCGGATGGTGGAAGCTTGAGTAAAAAAATCAAATTATAACAGCCAACAAACTCAGTACGCGTAAAATTTTCTAAGTGAAACTGAAAACCCACGCAAATATCTCACATTGCGTTGTAAATTTGAGGTTATTGAGTTCAACAGTGCGTTTTTTATAAAAATAAAAAACGTAATATTTCGAGGTGCATATTTCTTTCGTGACCGAATTTTTATCAAGGCAGGGTTCGAGGCAAAAGAAAACCTCTTCTCATCCCACGTTTCTTCATTAGCAAAGTGTGAAAAGTTTTAAACGATTTTCGTTACACTGTTTCAGATCAATACTTCAGTAAATACCTTACTAAAAGTCTTATCCGAGAGCATTATATTTTCTGGACTCTTGGTCAAAATTAAGGAATATTTTGATTGGTATTTGTCTCCGTCTGTTAGCAATTTTCCTATCCTTGCTTGATGCTTGATGCTAATGAGTCTAATATATCCATTACTGATATCACATGAAAGTATTAATGAATGGGGTTAATCTAGTAATGCCGAGAGACATTAACCCAAAAAAGATGCTATCTTTTCGTTCTCAGGAGGTTAAACCTGTTCAAGGTAATTCAACTCCTAGCATGGCCTCAAGTCCTGCCGCAACAAGCACCCAGGGCTCAGGTCAGCGACTGCCCGAGGAGACCCAAAATCTTGCATCAGGTGGTGGTGAAGTTGCCGGAAAAGGTACAACCCAGCCGCCTTCAGTTGATGCTGAAGGGAAAGGAAGGAAAAGGGTTCCGACATCGGGAAGAGGGAAGGGGAATATGATGATCCTGCCCAAGAGCAAAGGGTCCTCTGGCCCTGGCTGGACTGGCGCAGGTTTTGATGTGGATGGAAGGGCATGAAGCAGGTCTTGTAGACTCGAATTAGCATGAACCAGAGGTTTCAGATCAGACCATGTGGGATGGTAACCAGTTGTGTGCAAGTTCACCGATGTAGAATCTGACTGACCTGACCTGGTGGAGCTCGTTCCTGACATGATGATTCCATTAGTACCATTGCTCATGGTATACTATGTGAATTCCTAAGTGAAGATTGTAAGTTGGATGAACATTTCCCGAGTTTTAAGTTTTTGACGAGCAGAATAAAGGAAACGAGAAAGGTTCTAATGTCTATCACACAGTAATATTTTTCTATTCTTTGTAATCGGACCAGGGAATGAGCTATTTACTCACTAACGTTCTTCAATACAAAATCAAGGATGATTGAAATAATCTTATTGACATGGGAAACTTACAATTATATATTTTAATTTATTTATTTTTGCCGAAATAATTTGTTAAGTAGACGAATCTACTCGGGGAACTGACTAAGACTCTAGAAAAGAGTGCATTATAATTTCTGAAGGAACAAACTAAACGAATTGCCGAACTCTTTAATGAATAATTTGGGAGTTCAAGAGTCCAGCCTAGTTAAATATCATTAGTATCCCCCATATAGTGTTTTATTGTCCTGTGGTATGTAATACCCGTAATGGGGCTGATGGAGTACTGGCTCGTTGTGCTTGAACAGTGTAAATTATTGCGAACAGGATGTGTGCTGGATGAAGGTAGTCAAAATCAGGTAAATAAGATGTAGATCTTGTGACCAACCCCATTCATATCTTTCAATTTATGCATGATCTTTCTCTCCCTTAAAGTTCTACTTGCTCCACTGCCCAAGTTCACGGGTTTGCCTTCTGGATTATAGATAGGTATGTTGTTAATACACCTAAGTGGGGCAATAGATGAAGTTGGTAAGTTGTTGAAACATTATAGACACTTGGGCTGTAACTATGCATGTTCAACATAAATTCCATCGTCGTTGATGCATATGTTCCCTATTAGACCATAGTTATGTGAACACTATCTGAACAATCGGACCAGCATTAGTCCTAAGGATTATTTAACAAAACTACGTAGTGGTTTCTTTCAGTTATTTCTCTGTGTGCTTGTATCCATGAGACTATTGCAAAGTAATGAATAGTCGCTCTTGTCACTCAACAAGATATTCATAGTGCATGATCTATATTATTAAATCAATAGGGTAACGAATGTGTATTGTTTATTACACCAACATGACAGTTATACTCTACTGGAAACTAGTAGTAGATGGACTTGTTACTCTCAACGATAGCACGGAGAAGCTGATAGGAGAATGGAGTTGGATCTTTTCCATGCAAATTTCTTTAGTGATTGATAGAAGAGAAACTAAACAAGAAAAGGAATGGGTTAGAAATTATGTAGGATCACTTTCCTAGTTTAATCTCAAATATATTCCCTATTCCAAGAGTTTAACTCTTTAATATTTGACATCATAGAACAAATATTGGATGCTAAATTTCATGGTTTTAGGCAATACCTTCATGACACCTAACTCTAAATAAGCCGAGTAGAACACGTGTAGGGTTAGAAAGCTAGTAATTTAAAAGGAAAAGGAAATGCATCGAAGTGTTGATGATCGGTAATATAAACTGTTCATCCAAGCTGTTCTCCTTAATCTGTAGTAACTATAAGAGTCTATTTCGTGCTTTGTAATTAACGACGATCGAATATCAGCTTTCCATCACCTTATCTTGAAATTTCCTTCTTTAACTGCTCCAGAACATCACACATCCAATGCCTCAAAATAAATGCTTACTCACATGCTAGCTGTAAAGGCGTAGTACGAATTACTGTTGGCTAAAGTATGAAATTTCGGTATGAATTGGGTGGTTTCTTAAAACTATTGAAGGTTGGATTGTGCTATTCGAATACATAAATTTTTCTGTATTCTTATCACATGTCTTTCATTTTAAAACGAATGTCTTTAAGAACCTATCAAAATTGACTTTGTCAACATCAATATTGAGAGTTCAACTAGCTGCACTCATACTAATGCGATTTAATCATTTACGCCATGATTTGGTTGGTGGGTACTTCTGCTTGTAGCTCTAGTGTGCAACTTCGAAACTCTCAAACACCATTATGTTTGGTCTCCATAATTTGATTTTTCTAAGATGTTGAAGCATATTTCTCTAACTTGGCGAACTCACCCATAAAGGTACTTCAGTTGGCCATCTAAAACGTCTCCTCAACACAATACGTAACTTGCTTGTAAATATATATAGTGAGTTTATGAGTTATTCTTCAGGAAACCAAGATTTCTTATAACTTACAACCTATAATGATAGTCTGAACTATATATTACTAAAGGAATGAAGTTCCATCATATGTGGGTAGAACTTAAATTATGTTTTTTTTTTTCAAATGGTCTCCATAACCATACTCTAATAGTCATACTTTGGTGACAAAATCATTCTTTACATCATTTAAACATTTTTACAGGATCTATAACCCACGCCTAGCTAATTCATTTCACTAAGGTGGATAATCTTTGGCGATATAAAGAGGCCGAGAATAGTGCTGTAGTAAACATTCACAATGTAAACCAAGTAGGGTCGTTGAGAGAAATAAACCTGCAGTGGCACGCGGATTCAGCAGCCAATTCACCTTAATACTGGGCTTTCCACTTTCCTTTGTGATTACGAAAAAGAAGCTTATTTTCAGTATATTTATCATATACTTTTTTCGCCGATCTTGATAGGTATGGAAACCCTCTTACAATTAGAAAACGCCACTGCAGGGGGGCGTCTCACAATTTAAAATCAGACTTCGGGGTAATCTGTCACTTATTCCTAATTTGAAATCATTGAAAATCATTGAAAATCATGTCATTTAAAATGGAGTCAGTCGAAATATGAATCTGACATGATGTTAGCAGCAGATCCTGTAAAAATGGAACTTTTATCTACTGCAATCCTTCAAATGGAAATAGTGAAACGGACACGGAAGCAAAGAGAAGTCGGTTACGACGAGTCGTCACCCAGATGATACTAACGCCGGTTTCCGATGTAGTAATTAGTGATTTAGCATGATCTGTATAAGGTGAAAGTTCTCACAACTGCCCATTAAGCACCTCTATTATTCAAATCTCTCTTATGGAGATGCCTTAGAACCAGTTACCCTTTTATCTCAGTTTTCTGTGGACGCTCTCGTGAATTTTTCTACGGAGCAAATCATTGCCAAAAAAAGCAACTGACGCGCCAACAGACACAGAAGGCGTAGAAAACGAAGCACCATTAATCTGCTGCTGGTCGCACTGACTTAACGATACTTGTTGACGCCGCCATCAAGAGTTGCGGGTGATGCTATTCCGTAACTACCGGGGCAGCAGCTGTTGGAGCTGGAACCCAAGCTGAGGAAGACTCGGGCCCAGATCGATTAGAAGCGAGCCATCAAAGAAGACGGTTTTACAATTCTTGTGCAAGGGATTGGCGGAGGAGACACGCGCAGAACTTTCTCGTCGCATCCGCCGCCGGCGGGCTGCGGTGAGCCGGAAGGCAAGAGAATAATACGGAGGGGCATAAAGGGCTGGCGCACGAAGGCACTGGCCATGTGAGGGAGGAGGAGAAGTTTTGGGAAGAGGACGCGCCGGCGGCAGGTGGTGTCCGTAGTATTGGCGGCTGCGGGGCCGGCGTAGCGGGGGGGTTGGCGCGCTCGTGTGCGTCACCTGTTGTCTTCTGCTCGCGGGGGCCCACTGCTCGTCTCCATAGGTACCCATTGTCGCGTCCACCGGTGCTCGTCCTTATTCTCGCTCTAGCCTCCCGATCACGTATGATATTGTCCAAAGAATGTTACCTCATTCGAGGACAGACGTAAAGACGAATCTCCAATTATCCTCCCCTTCATCATCTCCCCCATCCGGCTCTTATCGTCTCTCTCTCTCTGTCTCGCTCTTATAGCTCTCTCTCTCTCTCCTGCCCTCCCTCTCGCGTGAAGACAGAAGCACAAACAAACAAGACCCCCCCGGGCAGAGCTATTGGTGCAGCTGCCCATACACTTGCAGAGACGATCCAAAGGGAGATTTGGAAGAAGAATCCTGGGCCTCGCCCCCACCCGAAAAGCCGAGCGGCAGGTTCCGCCAAATGAAATCTCAAGAATAGAAATATATGGTCAAGCGTGTCTACGTACAGGAGAGAGGGAGGAAGACAGGGAGAGCTAGAGAGAGAGCGAGATAGAGAGAGAGAGAGAGGGGGAGGGAGGGAGGGAGGATGGGATTCCATGGAATTTGATGAGGTACACCTGTAAATTTCATTTAGGTTCGTTTGTCCCACACGTAGCTTGTCCCATGCCGGGGTTTGGAGTGACGTGGGAGGAGATCTTCCCAACTCATCCACTTGATACCGCCGCAGTTATTCCCTTTCGATTGTTAGCTTGTCGTTGTTCGTGTTCTGAGGATATCTCTCTTATTTTCGACGTGGCGGAATTACCTAGGCGACTGCCATTGTCAAGCATCAGCAGTATCCGCACTCGCGGTAGAAATCCCCCCCCCCTCCTCTTCTCACCCACTAAAGCCACGCAGATACAAGAAGAAAGAGAAGGCCTGGAAGATGGGGTGCCCTCTTTCTCTAATCTCTTACTCTCCTGCCCCTCCTTTTATCTGCTCTTGGGTTTTGGCCGGCTCGTCTCTTTGTCGTCCCCCTACGAGTGGCGGCAAGCTGCGAATTTCGGTGGAAATAATGCCAAGGAGACGAGGAAAGCAGGAGACTTGAAACTTAAAAACCCGGTGGAATTTTACACAGATGTCCGTTCAGCCGGCGCTCGCGCTCTCTGACGGCGGTGGCGGCGGCGGCGGCGGCCCAGTGAGGAGCCACTTGGTGAAGACGTCGAGGGTGTTCATATCCGCGCGGTAGCACCTCTGCGTGAACTCCAGCAGCGTCGACCATGTGAAGTCCGGGTACCTTCTGGGATGCTCACCGTCCACGAGCTCCGGCGGCGGCCGCACCACCTTGTTCATCCCCGGTGAGAGGAAGAAGGCCAAGGACTTGCGCGGCGTGTTGCTGTTCACCACCGCCCTGTGCAGGCAGCTCTTGTACCTCCCGTTCGACAGCGCCTGCCAAGCGCAAACCAGGAGAATTAGCTCGCCATGCGGAATGGGGGGAGAACAACAGGGGAAGAGGAAGAGCAGGGAGGGAGGTTACTGTGAAGGTATCGCCGATGTTGATGACGAAGGCGCGGGGATTGGGGCGGACGGAGCGCCAGCGGCCCTCGGAGAAGACCTGAAGGCCGTTGACGTCGTCCTGGTGGAGGATGGTGAGGGAGGTGGGGTCGCAGTGGGGGCCTGTTCCGAGCGTGAGATGGGGGTTCTGGCAGGGGGGGTAGTAATTCAGCCGCATGATGGAGTCGTGCTCCTCGAACAGGTCCCGGAAGGCGGCCTTCTCCAGGCCCAGGCTCACTGCCAGCAGCTCCATTATCGCCAGCGAGAGCTCCCCCATCGCCTCGCAGTACTCCTGGTACAGCTCCCTGCCGAGAAATGGAGAGCAGTGAATTAGTGAGAGACTGAGTGCGCAGATGGATGCCCTCCTCCTCCCTCATCCCCCTCAGGGCCAAGAACGGCCCTGTCCTTCATTGTCCACTAACCCGTCGCGCAGGAAGGCCGGACCCAGCGTCTCGAGGAAGTAGGCGAGCACATTGCCGCCGTCGCTGTCGGAAGAAGGGGAAGAAGGAGAATACCGGAAGGAGAGGGTCTCCTTCCACGGGAGCTTGGACGTGAAGCGGCCGGTGAAGCTGCTGGCGTAGCCGCAGCTCTCCCCGCGCTTCCTCTGCGCCCGCTGCTTCTCCTCGAGGGGCATCTGGAAGAAGCCCATCACGCGGCGGTGGGCATCCGCCAGGAGCCCCGGGTCGACACCATGGTTCACGACCTGGAAGAACCCGTGCCTCTCGCAGGCCTCCCTCACCAAGCTTGCGACTTTCATGGCCGGGCCCGCCGACGGGTCCCCCCTCCCTCTCCTCTCCTCCATGAACTCTCCCAGGTCGATGACGGGGAGCGCGAGAACCTCGGAGGCGGCGTCCGGCCCTGGCTTCTCCTCGTCGGGCCACACGTACTGCGGCGGGATCTCGCACCGGTGCTGCAGAACAGCGGCGTCAAACACCAGCGGGCTGGAACAGGGCATCGGCGGCCGCCGCTGCTGCGCGCCGTCGCCGCCGGCGAGTGCGCTCGGATTGGCGTCGCCCGGCATCATCTCCGCCTTGCGGGTGGCTGCTTGGCCGGCGACGGGCAGGACCATCGACGCTATGCCCAAGTTCTTGGGCTATGGAAGAGAGGGAATGCAGAGCTGCTGCAGTGGATGATGGAATTGGAGAACGAACAAAGTGGCCCGAGAGGTCGAGAGAGCTCTCCTCTTCTCTCCTACGAGAGGTGAGAGGCTGCGACCCCAAGCCGCCGGTGGAGTCTCTGTTTATATCATATATCGGGTATCTCGGGGGGGGGGGGGGAGCATGCCATCAAGAGCGGGAAGACCGACCACCACGCTCGGGCCGCCCTTAACGACGAAAACCCTCCACCGAGTTCGTGACTCACCAGCCTATCCAGAAGACGACAACTGTCCTTCCCTCCGGCGTTCTGCGAAAGCGAGTCCCTCGTCCGGGTCTGCCGCTCTCGCCGAAGTGCGCCGACACCAAACGAAACGGTCTCTTTCAGGTTCTGGAACCTTATAATCATTAAAATCTGATATTTTATTAATAACTCTACACACCCGATAGCTGTGCGAAGGATTTCCACCCTGCCGAGCAATCATCCTCGAGATAGGGCTTCAACTACTTTACCTATACAGCATTTCGCTCTGGAAAATCCAACTGTTGTAATTGTACCATAGCCGCTTAGGTACCTGATTTTCATATTTACTACTAATTATATTATAATCAGTTTTTGGCTAACTTATAAAATAAGAAAAAGCTTTGTTTCCTCAATTTTTAGATTAAAGAATGAAAACAATGTTTTGAATAGGCTTAATGCTCTTCTTGAAAATCAGGTTTTATGTAGTATAAAATACATATAACCCTAACGCCAGATGTTTTCGTCTAAACTGTAATCTGCATGCCTTTCATCTCCCACAGATTTTTGATTTTGCAACAGTACTTGCAGTGGAGAGATCCCCATGACACTGGAACTCTCATTTCACCATACCACATTCAGCCGAACCTCTCTTTAGTTTTTAGGTGCCAATCATCTGTCACTACCCTTTGAGAAATAGCAACTTTGTTGTTAAGTAAATAGCATATATATCAAGGAAAAAAAGTTCTAATTCTTTTATTGCTAACTAAGAAGGCTAGACAAACCTAAATAGCTCGAAAAAGACCTTCAAGAATTATTAAATATAATTCGTTTTTCAAGAATGACCGTGTGCTGTATAATGAAACACTTGGCCAATCAGACAATGTTTCCTACATCCACCTTATCAAACCTCTAAGAAGTAAACAGCGAAGGGAGACAAAAAAGAAAAAAAAATGTTTTTAATGATACTCCTATCTTAATATCTTTGTATTTCTCAAGGAGCCCCCACTCAGCTGAATGTTTTCAACTCTTTTGAGCAACTCATCAAGTGCTGCCAAAATTTCAGCCCCCTCTCACAACAATTTCAGATTGACTGAAACTGCCCATTCAAGTTTTTGCATTTTCTATTGAACTTGAATTATGAAATTAATTTGAAAATAAATTGCAAACTGTACATCCGACAAGGGATTTAGTATGTTTACTATCAAGTGGACTTCAACATTTTGTGTATACACTAGAATGGTTTCAGCATTATAAGAAATTCCTCGTTGAATTAAATCAATAATTTTGACCACACCTAATTAGAGAATCAATGTTGATTGTATTATTTTTGTCTGTTCCTTTGACTCCAAGATATTTTGCAGTGATACTTCTTGTTAGTGGGAGGTATACCACGGAATGAATGGCTTATCATGTGAAGACTTTAATTCAAAACTTTTTATCCAAAGCTGATATTTGGTCACCATCAGAGTCATGTCCTTGTCAGAAATAGTCCATCGTGTCCCAATGTGTGAGAAGTAGTTGTCTTTGTAATTCTTCAATTGACAACATATCAATGCCTCTTTAGTTCTACTTCAAAAAGCAATAAAAACTATAGTTGCATATGTGAAATCTAATGTCGAACAGTATCCCACTCAGCTTGTATATGGCACATGAAATTATATAACAAACAAAACACTTTTGTTGGTGTCATGCACTTAGCATGGTTGTAAAGTTATATTTAGTTTTGAAAAAAATTAAAAAAGTTGTAATGAAATTTTGATGAAGGTGAAGAGGAGAAAATCATTGGTGCACAAGCTTAACGTTTTGCTTGTGTAGATATGGTGTTAGGGTATCATGCTATGATACTTACTTGTAAAAACATGACTTCCTCTAAATGGAGTTTTTGAATTATGACTTTTGTATAAAAAACCAACTACTAATGGTGTTAGGGTATCATGACGTCTTATAAATAAACTATTCTATTTAACCTTTTGAATTTTTCAAGGTACTAATGATGATCAAAACACCTTTTCCTTAGATGAATAAATGGCATGTAATATTTATAAATATTTGAATAAAAATAACCAAACGTTCCTTCCACAAAAAATGTTTCATAAAAATGAAACCAAAAGGGCAAACATTGATTCCCAAATGCAATACAACTAAATATGTAGAAAGCATAATATTATGTAAAAGAAAATTGTTCCAAACATTTTCTCATACGTGGTATACAACACATGAAGTGATTATGCTACAACTTCCTTGTTAAAGAAGACAAAATAAAATATGTCTAGTGTACAACTTGAGGGGTGAATTGTGAAGTCAAAATGATGTTTACCCTTCAGAAAGCATTCGAGAAACTTTTAATACATAAAACTTCTTGTTGGCTTTAGGATCCCATGTTCTTATGACGTCTTTATATTTTTAAAAATTAATAAATTTCTTAATTTTATAATTCGGAACCTAAATGAGCTTAATGGTTATTATTGAAGAAAGTGTGAATATTGAGAAAATTGAGATCAAGGGTAAAAGTGTCATTATACATTACAAGCTAAATTGAATTTTCTCTTCAACCTAGAAAATGACTGAACTGGCTGCATATGCTCCAGAATGTATTTACTGAGCAACCTAGTCTACTATGATCTACCTAGTCTAAAATGAAAAATCCAGAAAAGCAATGACAATATAAGGAGAACTCTCTTAAACTAAAATGAGCAAGGAAGAGTAATTGAATCCTGATCAAGTGTGAAATATCAAAGAGTAATGAGGGAACAAGGCGCATCCTTGATAAAAAAATTCTTATATATTAAGTCATAGGAATTAAGCATCTAAAAAGTTTGAAGCATAAATGAAAAGAATGGTAACTCATTAGATTTATTAAGGTGTATGGTTAGTACTTGAGATGATCTAGAGGTTCAATCTAGAGGAATTTAGCTTATGTTAAATTCATTGGTCCCCTAGAGTTGTGAACTTAAAACAGAAGAGTGGGTTCCCCTCTACTTTGACCATCTAGTGCCACGAATCTCAAAAAAATAATTTAGGCAAAATTCTGAGGTTATTGGAGAAATTAAATCTAGCAAAGACCAGTGAAGCTTGAATTTAGTCTTAGATGGTAGAGAATTTGGAAGAGCTCAAGGACATGGTTCTTAGATGGTGTAGGTGTGGTAGATTAAACTATTATAAGAGAATTGTGTGAGAAAAAATCTTTGACCAGGCTTCGTTATCTAAATAATAAAAATATTAGAGCTAAAACTAGAGTGTCTCCACCCATCTTCCTAACTTGTCATATCAAAGAAATTCTAATTGAACCAAAGCTAACCTGAATCCATACAAAGTAGTTATCTTTGAAGATGTAGACCTCCATAACTATTACTTTGAGGTCAAACTTAGAGGGATGCTCTATTATTGACCTTCTTTATTATACATATTGGGGAACAAGGATCAGAATTGCACATATTGAGCTCCCTTAGTAGATCTCTAATTATGTATATTTTTGGAGCATTCAATGCATCATGTTTTAATGAAGAATAACTAATATAATATTAATTAAAAGGATTAAATTATAGCTTACTCTAACTATGTATGATATGATAATAAATATGTAAGTAATTATATACAATTCCATACAATAATTTAGATGATAATTCAGCTATAAGTTTGTTCAGATGATAATTCATTGAACAATTTAAATCAGCAAGCTAAATTCAAAAGATTGATTCATTTCATGATATGAAATGATCATATTATATGTTTATTGTGAAAATCATAATATTAACATAATATGCTATCATGAAAAATAATAGTAAGCACATTGGAATGAAAAAGATATTGAGAAGTAAAATATGCATATGAAGGCCTAGTCACTTTTGAAATTAGATCATTACATTCGAATGATTTGATTATCAACTTATTCAATTTTGTTCAAATTGTCTACTTAGTCGAACATAAATTTTTCAAAATCAGATATATCATAAAATATTTTCTTAGCATTTTGAATTGTGAAAACTACAGTTTTGATTTAGATATATTTTGATTGGTAAGTCATAGTCTGAATGAGATATATGTTATCAATTTTATGCCAAAATTATCAGATCCTTGTTGTAGTAGTTTACCTAAAATCGACACAAATCAAATAGGAACATTTGAGTACTAACAGATTGTGTATAAATTAATTTGACCTAAAAATATCTGAGTTCCTTTCAAGCAAAACTTTAAGAAATTTTCAGATAAATCACTTTCTACATTGTTTGTGCTTTTGGTGGTCCAACAAGGAAACTTCATAACATTTTTTTCTCACATTTGTAAAAATTTTTCCTGTCCTTTTAAGTCATAAGAACTGTAAGATAGTCCTGTATCTCCACAGAAACATTCCAAAACATTAAACTTACCAACTATGACATGAGAAGAACAAAAGGTCAAAATCCCTCCTTTGAGTTAAAAATTTATGATCCTTGAACTTCAAATATTGTAGTTTACAAGTCCAATTCTCATTTAGAGTGATTCAAATCAGTTCTCATGGTCAAACTCCTTTGACTCTCTCAAACATTAGAGCTTGAATAAAAGACATGAATTTATCCTTCTTCTACTTCTGAGTGTGAGAGTCACGTCTCTATCAGTAGAAGTCAGTCTTCTAATGAT